CTGGCCCCAAGATGGGCCTTTACGTAAAGACTCCTCCGGATTAGGGGCATTTGACATATAGATGGGAATTGTAACTTTATATGATTTTGAGGAAGACAGGGTCATAGCAGCGCTTTGGACCTATTCCGTATACCCTGAGTCCGGTCTCCCCCCAGACGTGAGCCAAGTATCTGTCACTCGGCATAGTCTGCCACCTCAGCGGCTCGCAGGAGTCACGTGAGAGGGATGAGTGACCCACTCTCAGATTGCTTGTGGTAGCCTTGGAGAGAGCGAGGAGACGAAGTTGGACTCTGCATCCAGAAGAATTGGGGAAAGGGGAGACAGTTAAAGTAAACCCCAGCTTGGCCCTTTGCCTAATGTGCAGTCTTTCTACTTATCAACGCTGTGACTTTACAAGACCAAAATCTTCTTTCTTTCTAAAAGGGGACTGGTGCTTAAGAAAACTGCTGGGGCCAGCAGGTGGCGTGGTGGTTAAAAGGGCTGGACTCTCACATGGCTGACTATAGTTCGAGTCCCAGATCTGGCAGCTTGCTTTCTCTTTCACTCTCTCACTCTGTCACTGTCTGATCAAATTAAAAAATAAAGTTAAAATAAAATAATTCTTAAAAAAAAATAAAAGAAAACCGCTAAGCTCCAATTTAAAAACTGGGAGATGGGGACCTACAGGTGGTGTGATTGTTAAGGGCACTGAACTCCCACATGGCCAATCATAGTTTGAGTCCTGGACCTGGTGGCTTGCTTTCTCACCTTCTCTCTCTCTCTCTCTCTCCCTCCCTCCCTCCCTCCCGCTGTTTAAATTAAATAAACAAATAAATAAAATAAAAACCTGGGAAATGTAGAATTTATTATCATTATTATTATGATTATTATTGTGTAATTGTTGGTAGGATCACTTTAGATAGAATTCTTCCAAGTATGGGACCAGCAAATGGTTTAATGATATGTTGGTGAACTCCCATATAGTCAGCCATGGTTCAAGACCTAGGTCCAGTGGCTTAAAACATGTCAGATGCATGTACATGTGTGCCAGAAATCCCGAGAGGAAAGTGGAGAAGGGATTGTGGTGTGGCTACCCCCCCCCCCGGGGGGGGGTGGTGATTTCTTGCTTTCTGTGTCTCTGGCAAGCACAAGAGCCCTATAGCAAAAGTCTCTCTTAAAAAAAAATTCTTTCAAGTAGCTTCCCCTACATTTGTGTGTGTGTGTGTGTGTGTAATGATAGAATGTATACATCTGCACACGTGAAAGAAGTAAAGAAGCACCCTCGACAGGGCCCCGCTCTCCGTGCCTCCCTTTCCTCGGCCCTCCAGTTCTCAACGTCCTGGGCGCACACAGCACGCCCGGCGTGCCTTCAGGCTGACCCAGGAGTCCGACGCCACGGTCGGTCGTGGCCTCTAGCTCTGCAGTCCAGCACGCTGTGGACTTCTCCCTGCTCGGCTAGATCCCCTAAGTATTAAGTAAAACCTGAAAGAAAAGCTAAGGAACACATAACACTACTGTTAGTTTCCATAAATTGTCAAGATTAATTAGAAGTGAAGACTAAATAGCACCGAAATTTGGGGTGCAGATGGCAGCACTGTTTGACGTACGGTAGACTTTTCAAGAATACATATATTTCATACAAACAGGTACTTTTATACTTTCTCTTAACTGCTTCTGACGGAGTGAATCATATATTGGGTCGTCAGAAAAGTCATGACGCAATTTTGCATAGAAAATCATAGTAAAGTATGCCATGACTTTTCTAACAACCAATATCTATGTTGGTGTCGATGTACAAATAAATCACTGTTAGTGGGCCAGCACCACGGTGCAGCGGTTAAACACCGCATTAGGATCAGGGTTGCTTTCTTCTCTCTCTCCCTCTCCCTCTCCCTCTCTCCCTCTCTGGTCAAATTAAAATAAATAAAAGTTTTATGGGGACCAGCAGTTAGCGTAATGGCTGTGTCACTGGACTCCCATGTAGTCGACCGCGGTTCGAGTCCTGGACTCAGTGGCTTAAACTCACACCGGGCGCGTGTGCATGCACGCCCACGATCCCAAGAGGAGAATGGAGAAGGGATTGCGGCGTGGCCATATCCCCTGGGGGGTGATTTCTCACTTTCTGTCTCTCTGGCGAGCGCACAAGCCCTATAGCAAAAACCTCTCCAATAAATAAATAAATTTTTGGACAGTAGCTGCTAAAGAGCATGCTCTGTCCACTTTGCAAAAGACAAAGGTGGGGCCGACAGGTGGCATAGTGGTTAGGTGGCATGGTAGTTAAGGTGCTGGACTCCCATATTACCTACCATGGTTTGAGTCCCAAAACTGGCAGCTTGCATTCTCTCTCTCTCCTCTCTCCCCCTCTGATCAAATAAAAAGATTAATAAGAATAATAACAAATAAAATTAAATAAATATTTTTTTTAAAAAAACGGACAGGGTTGGGGCTGGCAAGTGGCATGGTGGTTAAAGGTGCTGGACTCCCACGTGGCTGACGACAGTTCGAGTTTTGGACCTGGAGGCCTGCTTTCTAACTCTCTCTCTCTCTCTGATCAAACTGGAAAATAAAAATAATAATAAATAAAGTTAAATAAAATAAATCTTAAAAAAAAAATAGGACAAGTGAATGATGGCGTCTATAAATTGTTCTTCACTCCCACCCCACAGCGCCCCCATCCACACTGATGGTTCTGCTCCCAGGCCCTGTCATGGAGACCTTTGGCAGGAGCACAAGTGTCCCGTGTCAGGAGGTGATCCTGAGGTGTTCGGGGTCACAGTGCAGAACTGGTGCCCTGTCCCACTGGTCCAGGTGGCTTCGTTGGTTAATTCGTGACGCACAGCAAACTAGTTTTGTCTGGCTGTAGAGAGCCAGTATTTCTAAACAACGTAGAGAAGCCATTTAATTAAGAAGGGTAGACATTTCCGTTCAAGTAGACAGAAAGGCACCTGGGCCAGTGGGTGTGAAGAATGGATGCAAAGTAGTGGAGGAAGCAGGTTGCTGGCAGGAGACTGGGACAGAATTCCTTGACAGATAGTTAGCAAAAATTAACTTCAGGACGTGTCACCCCGGAGTCCAGTCCTTTATACCAGCTTATGTTCATTCTGTTATTAGCTATCTCTTAAGAACTTCAGTTATTTGAAATTTTTGTTTACACACATTTACTGAGTATTGTGTAGAAAGTATTTTTTCCTTTCTCTTTTTTGTTGTTGTTGTTGTTGACAAGCTAAGCACTAGGTTTATTGAGCTAAAGAAACAGTCCATAGACAGAATGGGCCATTGTCAAGGGAGGCAAACAGCCTTTTCTGCCCTGATTTTTAATTTATTACACAGACATCAAAGCAGTCATACCAGAAAACAAGCAGTAGCATATCTAGGCATTTCCAGGGGTTCTTCTCGCCTCTCGCCCCTTCTGCTCCTGGAAAGACATATCAAGTATTTAAAGCAAAAGCCACAAAGACGCACCCTGGACCAAAAGCAGGGAGGTGCTGCCGTGGGTCAGAAACGGCAGCGTTGGAGGAGCTGGGAGGGCTGCGGTCTATCTGGCCTCGGGCAGCTGGTGGTTGAACCCTTGGAGTGGGGAGGAAGTGCCCAAATACCCATCTGAGACGGGACGGGGAGTGAAAGGGCACGGGGAGCTGAGGCTTCAAGAACGACAGGACCGAAGTAGGAGTGAACACAGAAGCAGTGCCCTCCAGTAAGGGGCAGAGCCGGGCCTCCCTCTACTCCACGGCTGTTTGCCACATCCCCCACATCACCTCGGAACACCGAAAGGATTGCTTCAGGACCTGGCTCTGAAACATGAATTCACTTCCGAGGAAATGAATTTTATAAAATGCCCTGATGAGGAACTTAGATATGTTCAAGATGTTCAGAAAGTAAAGGAAGCGAGACCGGCAGCTGGTGTGGTCACTAAGGCGCTGGACTCCCACACGGTAAACTCCTGTTTGAGTCCCGGATCTGGCAGCTTGCTTTCTCATTTTCTCTCTCTCTGTTTCTTTCTCTGGTCAAATTCAAAAAAAATGAATGAATTTTTTAAAAAGTAGATGAAGGAAAGATTTTAAAAATCACAGAAACAGAAGCATACATAATGGAATCAAGTATGAAAAGAAGAGGTAGAAATGAAAAATAACAGCCTGGGTACATTTGAAAAGAAAATTATTAAATTTGAATAGACCAGGACCAGTAGGTGGCATGGTGGTTAAGGTGCTGAACTCCCACATGGCCGACCATGGTTCAAGTCCTAGACCTGGAGGCTTGTTTTCTCACTTTCTCTTTCTCTGTTGAATACACATGCCCTATAGCAAATACAAAAATAATAATAATGATAAATATTTTTTTTTTAAATTGAGATCGACCAAAAATCATCCAGAAGGCATCAGAAAGGCAAATCTAAAGAAAGAAGCATGAAAGGGAGTATGTATTAAGAAGGCCTAGCCTGCCGCTCATTGCCATCACAGCGCTCTGTAGGTTCTGTCATAATGCCTCGTCACCAGCGGAATTGCCGTCTTCATGCTTTTGTTGACTCTGCATTCCTCCTGTCCTGCAGGGGGCGGAACGCTCTCCCAGCACGGTGTGGGCACACAGCCAAGGACCAGTCACAGGGTCTTCCTCACATGGGTCTTGCGTGCTAGCCTACTCTTCACTGCTCCTCTGGCACCACACTGGTCTCTGGCTCAAATAAGACAATCAGAGTATACTTATTAAGTGAGTGAGTGAATGAAGTAGTCAGCGCCTCAGAATCTTTGTAGCCTGTCTTCCGACCTTGATTTTCTCTCTCTCTCTTTAGCTTCCTTTACAGTGGGGTAGAGACCGGGAGAGGTGAGAGGAAGTCTCCCTCCCCAGCGCGTATCCACTGTGGCAGGGTGACACACAGTGTGGGGAAACTGGTGTAACACACACACCCAGACTCCACCCAGCTGAGTCCTCTTGCTTCTTATTTGTATTTGCAAACTGCTGAAAAGAACTCAGAGTGATACAGCAGTACAACATCAGTGTGCTAATTTTTCTTTTTTCTTTTTTAGGCTGGAGTGAAAGGGACATTGGGAAGATTAGTTGGAATTTTTGAGGTAAGTCTGTTAAAAATCTTTGATATAAATGGCATCATTGGGACCGGCAGGTGGTGTGGTGGTTCAGGGCGCTGGACTCCCACAAGGCCGGCCACGGTTTGAGTCCCAGACCTGGCAGCGTTAACTCACGCCTGGTGCGTGTGCGTGCGTGCCCAAAATCCCGAGAGGAGAATGAAGGAAAAGGGATTGCGTCGTGGCCACCCCTCTCGGGGGTGATTTCTCGCTTTCTGTCTCTCTATCTCTCTCTGTCTGTCTGGCGAGCACATGCGCCCTATAACAAAAACCTCTCCAAAAATAAATAAATAAATAAGTAAAATGAGTAAAGTTAAATAAATAATTCTTTTAAAAAATTAAAATAAATAAACAAATGGCATCATAGAGCAAGCAGGTGACGTGGTGGCTAAGGTGCTGTATCCCACACGGCTGGCTGCACCGTTTGAGTCTTGGACCCAGCAGCTCGGAAAGCACACGAGCACATGTATGCAAGCCCGAAATCCCGAGAGGAGAGTGGGGCAGAAGGGACTGCAGCGTGGCCGTCCCCCACGGGGGCGATTTTCCACTTCCCTCTGTCTCTCTCTGGTGTCCTTTGGCAAAATAATAAATGAATGAATGAGTAAATACATACATACACAAATGGTGTCGTGTTAATAACCACACGTGTCGTAGTCTAGGAAAGATGCCATCGCTGTTTCACTGCGTTTTCAAAACAAGGCAGCACCGGCGGAGAACCGTGTGTTTTCTCTTTTTAAACCCCATAATCTCCTCTTCCAAACAAGTGGATTTTTTTTTTTTTTTGAGGGGTTTTCACTATAGGGCGCGTGCGCTCGCCAGACAGACAGAGAGAGACATAGAGACAGAAAGTGAGAAATCACCCCCCAGGGGGGATGGTCACACCGCAATCCCTTCTCCTCCATTCTCCTCTCGGGATCTTGGGCATGCACGCACACGCACCCGGCGTGAGTTTTAAGCCACCGGGTCCGGGACACGAACCGCGGTCGACTACGTGGGGGTCCAGCGACATAGCCATTATGCTAACTGCTGGTTCCCAAGTGGAATTATTTGTGAGTGTTATGTATCCCATTCCTGCCTTTCTTTATCTCCTCCCAAGGTCGGAGGAAGAGTAGACACGTACGGAGAAAGCAGAGAAGAAACTGCAGATAAGTGGCTGGAGCAGAAGGGGGCAGACAGGACACAGGCTGTTAGGGGTTTGAGAGGTGGAAGGAAATGAGGAAGCTGGGGGAGAGACGGATACGGTTAGTAGGAGAAGGGGAGGTTGTGAAAGACGGCGTTGGTATGCCTCCACAGGACCGAAGCATGAGGCCACTAGGGTGCCCTCGCACCCACCCAGTCTGCACTGGTGCCCTTGTCCTGGGAGGTTGCAGCATCCCTGTGAAGTGGTATTTAGGGGAAGGAAAAGGAGTGTAAAACCTTGACTTTAAAAGCCAGACTGGGGAACCAGCAGGTGGCATAATGGCTATGTTGCTGGACTCCCACGTTGTCAAAGGCTGTTTGAATCCTAGACTCAGTGGCTTAAAACTCACTCCAGGTGTTGGGGCCAGCAGGTGGCATGGTAGTTAAGGACACTAGACTCCCACATGGCTGACCGTGGTTCAAGTCCCAGACCTCGTGGCTTGTTTTCTCACTTTCTCTCTCTCACTCTGTCCCTCTCTGGCCAAATTAAAATAAATGAATAAAAATAAATAATTCTCTTTTTTTTTTTTTGCTATAGGGCACGTGTGCTTGCCAGAAAGACAGAGGGAGACAGAGAGACAGAAAGTGAGAAATCACCCCCTCAGGAGGGATGGCCACACCACAATCCCTTCTCTCCCATTCTCCTCTTGGGATCTTGGGCACGCACGCACACACGCCCCCACGTGAGTTTAAGCCACCGGGTCCATGACTTGAATCACGGTCGACTACATGGGAGTTCAG